GAGTGATAATAAATTTCTTTCGCACAACGGACACACCTACAAGTATTTTTCATAATTGTCCATGATATTTGTTTCGAGTGCCTCATTTTCTTTTCCTAAAGCTCCTACAACTATTACATAATCAAACCGTAATGGACTAACTTACCACTTTCAAATTTTGATGCTTGCCATCAAATGTTTTTACTTCTCGGAGACAGATTCTGAAATAATCTTCCTTCAGTTCTTCTATCCAGATATTCATTGCGTCCTGTGGCCTGTTGCTGACAGAGTGACGTACCGTGGTGAGAACTTTTGGGACAGAAGAAAAGCGCTGGAAAGCAAAGAGAAAAAAATTTGTTTACTTTCACTCGGGTTAATTTGCAAAGAGTTCTCACATAGCCTGCAAATATTGTGCTTAGCAAGGAAAAGGAGCAACTGTCACGCTATCAAAGCTACGAAAAATGGAGAATTAAATTGTGTGACATGGTTTTAAAACCAGCTGACATTTGGGTACAAAGCAATAACCACAAAATTCGATGTCTATATTCTCCGCGTATAATTTCACCGTTACTGCCTCATAGCTTCAACCCCGTGACCCTTTTTCAGAAAGGAAAATGACTAATTTAATTCTTTTCTTTCCTAAACGACTATCCCCTATCTCGTTGACATATGAAATCTACCCAATGTTGCACTCAATAACGTGATAATCTGACAATAAACACTGACCAATTTCGTTTGGTTGAGGTCAGAAAGGCATAGAAATCAGATCAGAGTTAAGAAAACAGCTTGGCAAATCATCTGACACGGATTTATAATCCTGCATAGACACAAATGACTATACGTAAACGACAACCACATCACTCATTCGCCCGTTTTATACCCGTCACCAGCCATACGATAATCGCAATCTCTAGCTCACTTAAAGGATCTTAAAAATACCAATAATTGACTATAAATCTATAAATTTAACTCTCTCTCCTTCAGACTCTTCTTTTTCAGAAATGTATGTGTTTTACAGTTACTTCATCGTTATAAAACCATGTAAAGGTTTTCAAATGCATTGGCAAATTAAAGAAATAAGTCTGCTGATTCAATTTCCCGGAGGTAAAAAAAAAATAGTAATACAAAAAGAAACAATAAAGCTATGCATTATTTGGAGGCATTTTTAACAGCAATATTCCACTCTGATGGAGCGTTGTACTGTCTTTTTAAGAACAACAAATAAAATCGTGAACTCTAAACGGAACCAATTAATTAAAAGATATTTCCCTATCCCGTGGGGATATTTTTCAATGTCAGTTTAATTCACTCTCAACAGGAAGTTTGCCAGATTTGAATAATTCTGAAACATTCTCAGTGTGGAGAACTGCTGATTGCTTTTCAGCTTACAAGAAAACGTTAACCTCGAATAACTGCAGTGTAAGATCGCACAATGGTTTGACTAAATTTGCCATGTTCTTTTTCATTCACTGTTTTAAACCTTTGCTATCTGGTGAGGGGTCAGCAACATCAATCACAGAGGA